CCCCGCCCTGTGAGTTGGCCAAAGCTCCCGCTGACATCCACCCCACTTCTGTCGTCAGGACTCAGAGCAGTGTGTGGATGAATAAGTGGTCTTGCGATTCTGAGCCTGTCAACCAGGATGATTTGGCAGACATCTTGAGCGCCCTCCCCAGGCCGACTCAGGCTTCAGTTGAGCTCTCAATCAGCGGGCGGGACCTGTTTGACGCGGTCAAAAGAATGTCCCACAAGGCCGTCGGCCCCGACCAATGGGGCCCCGAAATCTTGCACATGCCATCTGAGTGGTGGGACTCCTTGGGACGACTCTGGACGCGGGTGCTCTCCAGTGGGCAAGTCCCACTTTTGTGGAGACGTGCCGTCGTAATACTTCTCCCTAAAACGCATACCGAGTATCGTCCCATCGCGCTGACCTCTTTCCTTTGGCGAGCGGGCGCCCGCATCCTGTGCAGGCGTATGCAAGCGTGGATTGCATCGTGGTGCTCGCCCCAGGCTGCTGGAGGAGCTCCAGGCAAAGGCACCGCTGACGCACATGGCGTCATCTTGCAGAGCTGGCATCAGGGTGCCAAAGCCTACATACAGCAGGATTTGTCCGCGTATTTTGACAGCATCAGGCTTCCCCATTTGTTGACTATCCTTGATCACATGCGGGCCCCGCCATGCCTGGGCAGGCTGCTGGCCTCCTTCTACAGCGACTCTCAGAGATTGTTTAAAGTCTCTAAGGTCACCAATGAAAGGTGGCGGACGTCATCCAAAGGTCTTCTGCAGGGGTGCCCTCTTTCTCCCCTGTGCGCCCTTCTGATCGGCAACGTTTGGCATGCATACGTCACCCGAGGTCCTACCAAAGCACTCATCTTTGTGGATGATAGGCTTCTATGGGCGCCGCCAGGAGCCAGGGACGTGGAAGCAGCCCTCACCGATGGGGTGACGCGAAGTAATTTCTTTGATAAGGTCATGAATTTTACCTGCCGTCCTTCAAAGTGCGCGATTGTCGAGCCTAAGGCCCGCCCCCGGCTGCACGCTCTAGCGGCACAGTTAGGATATCCGACCCGTCACCGCTTAGAAATCCTAGGCCTCACCGTTGAGCTTGACAGTGGGAAAACTGGCTTACTTAAGTTAAGTGTTGATACCCTTCTGGCTCGCCTTCGCGCCCTAAACATCCTGAGCCCCTCCTTCCACGTTGCAAGGGTCGTGTGTTCCAGCTTGGTCTTTGCTGCTCTGGCATGGGCTGCCGGTGTTGCGGCCCCGGAGGCGAAAGATCTCACTGCCATCCGGAAGTCCACCCACCGAGCCCTTCAACCTCAGATCGCAGGCGAGACTCCGTGGGTTCTCCTTGCTGAAGTCCACGGGTGGCAGTGGGACCCCAAGTGGCTCTTGCAATGGCGGGCTTTGAGTGCTGTGTGGAGACACGTGACAGGAGGTTCAGCTCACAGTGGAAACCGTGTGCAGGCTGTCCTTCCCCATGCCGTCAGCACCGTAGCTGATCTAGGCTGGCAGCTTGAGATGAATGGCGCCGCCGTCTCCAGAGTAGATGATGCCGGGCAGACACGACGTTTTTGTTTTGGCTGGCAGAACATCCATGTTTTGCGTGACTGGCTCACTGAAGAACACCGCAAACGTGGCATCGCAAGTTGTGGGCGTGTCAAAACCTCTTACCACCGTGACGAGGCAGGCCTCGCTACTGGCCTCAACCTTGATGCACCGAACCCGAGCATCCGCTTTGCACTGGCTGGCCATAGGCTCCTCGGGAAAAGTCAGTCATTGGATGTTCGTCGTGCTTCTCTGGCTACAGGCGGCTCGGCCTGGTACCACCGTCAGCGTCTTCCCCCTTTGCGGGCCTCTGAAGTCAAATGCTTGTGCAATCTCTCTTTGCCTTCGCGTGCCCACGTTACTTGGGCATGCCCAAAGACGGTTATGCACAGGCACGGCCTTCAGGCCCCTACGAACAGAGTCGAAGAAAGGCTTTTTGGAGCCCCCCTGCCGGAATATCCGGCTGCCCCTGTTGGCAATCAGGTCCCGGCCATGATACAGGCTTTGCGGACTCACTTTTGCCAGGTCCTGACACCAGATGCTGATAACCTTCTCGTTGCCAGTGATGGAAGTCATCACCTTGGAGTGGGCGCTTGTGCAGTGGTGACGGAGAGTTCAGGAGACAATTTCTCAGCAGGTGATGACGCGGAAGACCAATCTCCTTTCCGCTACGAGATGATCGGTTTGAATGCCCTCCTGCAGGCTCTTCCCCTTGGACAGCGGTACAACAACTCCACTGTGACAATCCTGGTCGATTGCCAAAGTGCCTTGGACTCGGTCCAGAGCCCCGCCACCAGCAAGCTTCGGTGCCTGGCGGAGGAGTCGGCTTCCCTTTTACGGGCACTCCGTAGGGACTACAAAGCAGTACACCTGGTGTGGGTCCCTTCGCACAACAAGCGACTCGACTGGCAACCGCCTCTTGATCTAGATGATCGCCGGTGCCGTGATTTGAACGACAAGGCAGACCGGGCAGCCAACCAAAGACGTGACTCACGAGCTCATGGCTCCTCTCGAGTGGCGTGGCATCGTCGCTTTGAAGAAGCTGAGCGATGGGAAGTTGCTGCCATCTCGGCGGCAGCTGCGTCCTCTGCCCTTCTGTACGATCACCTTAAACTTTCGGTTTCCCCTCCCTAAGGCGGGTGTCTTTCAGTTTTTGTTTAGGCCTTCTCCATCGGTGTGCGCTGCAAAGCTGCACCCACCCATCGCCGTCGTGTGCCAAATCGCCTAGCCCACCCCCCTTGCGTGTGGTTCCCTAGTGTTGGTTTAGGCCCACCCCCTTAAGGACCGTGTGCACTCCTGCAAACCCCCCTCTTCGGGTTTGCTCGGGTTTAGGCCTCTCCTTCCCATTAGTTGTGCAGTTGGCGTGGCCCTTACTCTGCACGAGCCTGCTCGCCCGCTCCCCCTAAGTGTGGTTTCCCTAGTGTTGGTTTAGGCCCACCCACCTGAATGCCCGGGCGAGCTCCTGCAAGCTCCTCACCCTTTGAGGCTTCGTGCTGAGCCCTCCGAGCGTAGTGGGTGCTGTGCCTCGCCGTCCCACCTCCCTCTGTGGTCCCTAGTGTTTGGCTTAGGCCCCTCTTAAAGCCTGAGCGAGCTCCCGATGGATTCTCGTTCCCAGATGCTTGGAGCTGGGCTTAGCCGCTTTCCATGTCCCTCCCTAGTATGTGGGTCTTGTGTTGGGTTTAGGCCTCACCCAGGTTTTCGAAAGAGCCTGCTCTGCGATGCCCTCAGCGGTACTGCCCTATAACAGTGCTGGCCTCCCTTCTTGACCGTACTTTCACGTTCCTAGTAGGCTAATCGGTGGTTCCCCCTTCTTGCGCTTGTGCACCGTCCGGTGCCTCTCACGGGAATGTGGCGAGGCCCCTGCAGCCTGCTGATCTTCTTCGTGCTAAGGCAAAATGGAGCGTAGACCCCTGGTCTGCGCTAAAACTTGACGCAACCCTGCCTGGACCTGCTCCTCTAAGCAGGGCTCTCTTTGCGGCTTCGGGCTTTGAAGCACTCTCCTGCACTACCTCGTCGAGGCCTCACGGTGGCTGCTGTGGCTGCTGCGCTGTGGCTGCTGCGCTTGGGCCGCTGAGTCGCGGTCTCCTGGAGCTGAGTTCCTACGGCAAGTCCCACTGAGAACGAGCGTAGTTTCTGAAGTGTACGTCGCACAAGCGTAGCCTTAACGTGACCGTAGCCTTGTAGCTTTCTGACTTGAGTCAACTTGGTTACACATGCTAAAGCATGGTGCCGAGGACTCTTCGTCGTAGCAGCCTCTGTCTTCTTGAGACACCTGGCTCTTGTAGTCTCCCCGCTAACGCTTCTTGCTTCGCTTTGCAGTCTCGCATGGGGGAATGTGAAAGTAGCAAGGCCAGTAGCAGCTCTCGCTTCTTGTACAGCCGAGCCTTTCGTTGCACAGTGACGAATGGACACCGAGACGACACGAACCTGCAGCGGCGAGGGACCTGAGCGCCTGCTCTCCACGGTAGGTGCAAGGGCTCTTGTCGTGACACAACTCAATACGGAGAACAGTTTTGGCTTGCAGTTAGCTCCAAGCGCTCCAAAACGGGCAACGGCTGGGTAGAGCCGGCTAAAACTGCTGTGCGTGGGAGAGGGCAGGCAATGGCTCCTTCCTCTGGTGGCGTGGCCACCTTTTCTTCTGATATGCGAAGGCGACTCAGAGCTATGACAGCTCAACTACACAAGGATGACAACGACGGCTTGAGTCTACCCCTCAGGCCTTGGGCTTGCGGGCCCTTAGCACCATGGAGCTGGTCTGGCCAGCAAGGCGAAGCTTCCCCTTTGGAAGCGAGGCACAAATCTTGGAAACAATGCTGCTTGGGAAGCAGCAACTGGGGTGCATCCGGGGCGCCAGGGGGCGCTAGAGATGCAAAAGTGGCGAGGGCCATGGGTCTTCTTGTGAATTTCATTGTGGAGAAGCGACAGGCCTACCTCCTTGGTGCGAGGCAGGCTTTGCAGAAGATGCTCGCCATCGGCATTGGACCAAGCATGCTGTGGTCTCCTGTGGGCGAGTTTGGCATCCTGCCTTTCGAAGGTGAGCTCTGGCCAACGGCTGCCTTTTGCAGCACCGAGGCCGACAGGCCCTGCCGGGCTTGCCCGGCGGCGCTGTTTAGAGTAAACGTTTTGGGTGGGCGGGGCGGGGTGTCTCTGTGGGTAGGAGGAGTTCCCTCGACTGGACCAACTCGAAGATCTCCGCAGTTTCAAAGAGAAAAGTTTTATTGAGCAGTTTTGAGTTTCTATTTTATTTACGTATCGTGCGCTTTTCAGAATGGAGCCAGAAGCTGAGTGCGCGCACAATCTCAATGCTTATCATGGACGCAGAGCTCAGGCTCAGGAGCAGGGAAAATTTTGATTGTATGGGGCTAGCATTCACAAGCATCGTTGTGACGCATGACTGGACAGTTTAGCTTCACGGTAGCTCCATACTTTAGGACTACGAAAGCGGTAGAAGGGTGGCCCTGCGGCCCATGGTCGGCCATGAGTGGCACAGGACTCGGATGGCCCGCTTTAGTGCCACCATACCGCAACCGCCTTGAAGAGTGGTTTAGCACGCCTGAAAAATTGCATGCCTCATTCGACACGAGGGAAGAGCTTGTATCATTGCTTAGGGCTTGCGATAACACGCTTCTTGAAAGTAGCCTGCAGTTGATTGCGGATGCACTTCTTGAATGGCATGCAGACAATGCTCGCACAGTTGCGAGTGGGCGCAGGGAATCAAGGAGGCGCTTGACAGAGTGCTTGCCCAGTGTCCCGGGAACTGGCCTTAGCTTGCATGAGCATTACAATCAGATTGCACTTCAGAGTCCACTTGCGTTGCTTCCGGTTCTTCGCAAGCGGAAGTTAGCTACTGATAGGGTCGTGGATCGCGGTGCCAGGGCCACTGAGGAGATACGGCTTCGGCAGGAGTATGCATTGCGTCTTGCAGCCATCATGCAGGAGGCGCAACTGCCGGTGTGCAAGGTGCTTGCAGGGGTCAGCAATGCCGAGGAAGCCTGGCCACGGCTGTTCGGGACCCGTCGATCCAAGACATTGAGAAATCGCTTTAGAGCTTGGGACAAGTTTCGGGAATGGTTGCTTTATAGCCGTGGCAGGAGCTATCCGGAAGGGGTAGCTGATGTGCTAGATTATGCCAATGAACGATTCCAGGAAGGATGTGGAAAGACAGTTCTCGAAAGCCTGCAAGCCTCTCTCAGTGTAATTGAAGGTGTAGGGCGCGTGCCGTCTACGCAGCAGATATCTCAGGATCCCACATGGCAGGCGCAGCTCAAAAGTTACACAGCCGATTTGGTTTCGGCGGCACCGCCGGAGCAGCCAGCCAGCATGCTCACTGTTGCTATCGTTCTTGCATGTGAGATCTTCGTTTGCACGCCCGGGGAGCCTAGTTACTTGAGAGCATTGGGCTTTGTCTGCTTATTGATGGTTTGGGGATCGCTTCGGGCTGATGATGTTCAGGGGCTCTTGCCGCAGACCATGCTTCTGGACGAGCGAGGGCTTAGCATTGATCTCGCGCGGTCCAAGACTACAGGGCCCGACAAAAGGACCCACACCGTCAAGGTCTTCGTGGAACGGAGTATCTCTCTGACAGGGCATGATTGGCTGAAGGTCGGATATGCACTTTGGAAGGATTTCGATTTTGAGAGGGATTATCTGGTTTTGAAGGCCAATGAAGGTTTCACGGAACCCCTGGAGAAGTCGGTGCCTTCCTCCACGGTGGCCCTTTACTTCCGCAAAGTTCTCAGTGAGTTGAAAACGCCCAAGCGTGAGGGGCGCACATGGAAGGCCAATGATCAGCGTCCGCTGCTCCCGGGATACACTTCCAGTCATTTTACGGGACATTCTGCGAGGAACTTCCTTAGCTCGGTCGGAGCGGCCATCGATGTCGACCCCAGGGAGCTTGATTATCTGGGTCGCTGGAAGGTAGGTGGCGAAGGTTCTGCAACCTACATTCGCACTTCTAGGCAGGTTGTGCATCGTCTCCAGAGTCACATTGCTTGTTCCCTTGTCACCGGACAGCCAAAGCACTACATCGAGGTGGATTCCATCAAGGCTTTGACGGACTATGCAGCTAAGGCGGGGGAGAGCGAGTCTCAGGTTCGTCGCCGTCACACCCTCCTCGAGGGATCCAAAGGCTTGGGCGGGTCGTGGCCAACTCTGGCATTGGAAGTGGGTGTTGCGGCACCACCTTCTCCAGTCGAGCAGGTTTCGATGCCAGGCAGCCGGGGGGATTACTTCATCGTTACCTCTCGCACCACAGGCCTGAGGCGTCTGCACATGTTGGGCTGCTATGTCAAGCCTGAGAATTGTTATGATGTGAAATTTGTCAGTCATGTCGGCGCGGAGGACGTCGATAACATTTGCAAAGATTGCAAAGCAAGAATGAAGGCTCAGGCCGGAGAGGAGGAATCAGACCCCTCCAGCAGTGACAGTGGGAGCGAGTCGATGTGAAGGCAAAAGATGCTTTCGACTGCTGTGGATAGGCTGTGCCCTGCAAGTCCTAGCCAGAAGTTGGCATGAGTTGCTTATGCAAGGGCGCCTTGAAGTAGATCCACGATAACAGTCCATGCTGACTTTTCTCAGGGCATCTTGAAGTTGTTTCGCGATAACAGTTCATGCTGATGAAGTGCACGTGCTGGCGCTGTTCAAGCAGGAGGAAGTCTCACTCGGCGCAGGCCGTGAGGTGCCGGCGGATTCCGCATCCTGTCACAGGCCTCAGGGCGACGGGTGGACACATCGCAGTGCAGCTAAAGGCCTCAGGGCGGCTAGCAATCCAAGTCCTACAGGGCCACAGGCCGGGCGCGGCCTTCGCATCAGGAGTAGCGGGAGTTAGTTACTGTTGTCGCAATGGCCGCCACAGATGCCGAGAAGCGCGAGCTCATAACCAAAGCAGATAGCGATTTGCAGTTTGTGCTCGGAGAAGCTGGCTTGTCTCTGGATGCCCAGTATCGCATTGTGCAACGACACACAACACTTAGGCGATTCCAGGCAATCGCCGATTCCCGGCCGGAAGCTCGGGCTGCTGGGAAGGCGGACTTTGGTCTTGATGATGGGGCTGCTGATGGGCGACAACAAATCGCGGGGGTCGTCGCTGCATGGGAACTTGCACGCGACGTAATCAGCAAAGAGACGGAAACACGAGCAGAGGCGAAAGTGTTAGGCCAGCCGCGAATCTTGCAAGTCACAGAGAGGCAAGCAATGCTCAAGGCGGTAGCGGCCGTTCACGGGCAGCTGGGAGAGTCGGAGACTCCATCGTCTGAGTACCTCGCTCTCAAGTGCGAGGAGTGCGAAGCCAATGAGCCTCAGGCTTCAACCTTGGATGCCATAACTTCGAAGAAGAACACGCTCACCACGAGCATCCAGTCCAGCCTTGACGCTTCGGGGCGAATTCATATTACTCAGCACAAATCCAAGAGCGAGCTCCCGACTACTACAGAAGCTTATCGCAAGGTCCTTCGCGTGGAAGCTTTCACGTGGCTATGCATGGCATCCCGCTTCAAATCCAAGCAATGGCTTCAGGATCTTAAGCTGTCTGACTTCGACCACTTCGTGAACTACATCCTTGGCGAAAAGGTCGCTCAGCTCTCAGTGCCTACGTCTCATCAGCCAGCCGATGTGCCTTCACTTTCGCCACCTTGGGAAGTAGTCTTGGCCTATGAGCACCGGTTGCGCAAGGAGGCTTTCCGTCTGGTCAATGATCAGGGTTATACTCTGGCAGGCGCTCTGGCTTCAGTCATTTCTTCAGCGGAGCTTAAGGAGACCTACTTCACGACGCCGCTCGCCTTGTCCATCATTGAGCGACCACGCAAGTGGCACAAAGGCAAGGGCAAGGGCAAGGATGGCAAGGACGGAGGCAAGACAGGCAAGGGCGGCAAGGGCAAAGACTCCAAGGGGGGCAAGAACGGCAAAAGCCCCTCGGACCCGGCGCTTAAGGGCCTTCAGTTGGTTTGGCGCACGCCGGAGGGCCGCGACATTTGCTTTGCATTCAACTCGCAGGGCTGCACCAATCCTTCATGCGAACGCTTGCATGTGTGCCGGGTCAAGGGCTGTTATCAGCCCCACTCAGCGACCGAGCATAAGCTTAAGACCAGCAAGCCCAAGGAGTGACTATCGCATGATTCGGTTTCTACCATTGAGACATCAGACCACATCGCCTACCAGCCTCAGCTGTACAGTCCGAGCGGGCTTCGTGTGCTCTACATTTTCGCGGGGCCCCATCGCAAAGGTGATGTGGGCTCTTACCTTCAGTCATTGGGCAATGTCACTAATCTTCTTCAGTTCGATCTTCAGCGCTCCACGGAGCATGACTTGACTAAGGAAGGCTTGTGGCAGCACATCTTTCAATTGCTTGGCGAAGGGGATTGGATCCTCATTGCCTCTCCTCCTTGTGAGACATTTTCCAGAGTCCGGCATCGCCACCCCGGGCCAAAGCCACTACGTTCAGCATTTTATCCTAGAGGTTTTCCATGGTTAAGCAATTTGCACGCGCAGCAGGTGGAGCAGGCTAATTATTTTCTTGATCAGACCGTGACGGCATGTCAACTTGCATGGCAGTATGTTCTGGAGCACCCGGAGGATCTCGGCGCAACGCCGGATCACGAGTTACCGGCTTCCATCTGGCAGCTACCAGCTCTGCGTGAGCTCCAGGTTTCCACTCAGGCCATCACTTTTGCTTTCTTTCAATGCAGCTTTGAGGCTCCCACTTCCAAACCCACACGCCTTCTCACTAATCTACGGGCCTTTGTCGAGCAGCCTCCGCCTTTTGCTTCATGGCCACGCTTCGACTCCAGTGATCGCTACGTGGGGCCGTTGCCGCCACGCTGCCCGCACGGGAAACATGACAAAGTACTTGCAGGCCGAGAAGGCTCCCGCTGGGCGACCGAGTCATCAGCAGCCTATCCTCCTCTGTTGTGTGAGTGGCTTGCGCATGCTGTGCTTGCTTCCGCTTCGCAGGGGGGACTTGGGTCAGCGCCGCACAGCTCCGTTCCAGGTGAGGCAGGTCCAATGCAGGAATCCCACGAGGCAACGCAGGAGGTGCATCAGGATTTATGTGAAGTGCCGCAGGGGCTGCACCAGGTGGTTTCCGATAGGGTAGAGGCGGTTACTGATAGGGTAGAGGCGGTTGGCTTGATCGAGTCGGAAGCACCTCCTTCCACTTTGTTGCCGTCGCCAGACTCTTCGGGGCCAGACTCTTCGGGGCAACCGCAGCCGAAGGCAGCACCTAGGGGGGTTAAGAAACAAGTTGAAGCCGAGGAGTTCGCACGCATCGTTTCTTCATCGAGAGCCCCGACTCGGGCCGAGGTCCATGCTCTCTTCAAACTGCTGCCGCATGAGACTCCGCCTAGGTCGGCGGTGTCCTCTAATTGGGTTCCTAGCAGCTTTTCGACAGGCTTGTACCGGAAGGGTGGAGGCCTGATCGGGCTCAGGTCCGCGTGCAAAGGCTTCCCGGCTTCCACAGAAGCTTTGGCATCCTTCGTGCGTAGCAACATGCCCGGGCACCCCTTTACCACGATTAGCCTTTACCTTAACACTGGCACCAAGCCCCACAAAGACTCCAGGAACGCACCTTTGCCCAATGGGATAATAGGGGTTACTGACTTCGTAGGAGGAGAGATCTGGGTCGAGGCCCAGGATGGGGAGTCTGTTCAGATTGTTGACGGTAAGCGCTTAAGTGGTCACCTTCTTCCGATCAGTGAGACACCCACCTACATACATGCCTACCGCGATCTTCACCTCACAATGCCCTGGAAAGGTAAGAGATTAGTCATCATAGCTTTCAGTGTATCGGAGCATACTCAGGCATGCGATGAGGATCTCGCGTTTCTTCGCGGGCATGGTTTCGTCCTTCCGGGCGAAGAGCACAGTGTTGATCTTGAGGCGGTCCAGTCAGATGATTCGGAGGTGCTGGAGGGGGGTGAGGTCGAAAGGCCGGAGCCCTTCAAGCATCAGGAGTGCCACAACATCGGGCTGCCTTTGAACCTCGAGTGGGATGGCAAAACTCAGCCGATCACGGATGGCTTTGGACTCTGCTCACCCACTAGATGGCCTCCGGAAGCCAGGGGGGGCCTGCTGCCCAAGCAGGCTTTGGAGTTCGCCACTGCCATGCATCAAGTGCTTCGAGACTTTGTAGCGGACGTTGTGCCTGATATCAAGCGCACGGCGATGGAGCTTGCGCTAGGCCGCCTTAAGGAATCGCCTTTCACTCCCGAGATGTTAGGGGTCCTTAGGAAGGATTGGTTTAGTTGCATAGAGGTTGCTTCGGGAGGCAAGTGTACGGATCTTGATGTGGTGCCGAGTGGCCAGCCATTCTTCTTGCATGCTGTGTCTGCGACGGCTCGGCTGTTGCAGGACCCAGATTGGAAAGCCGTTTCTTGCCAGGAGGACTCCTATGTCAGCGGGGTCGCGATCGGTTATGACTGCCCCGCGCCTCACTTGCCACAGGTGTACGAGTACAAACACAAGTCCCGCAAGCTCGATGAATCGGATGCCGAGTGGCATCGCGAGAACTATTCGTCGGCAAACGAAACATCGGATCAGCTTGAGAAGAAGTTTGCAGAGGAAGAGGCTCTTGGGCGCATGGCGCCTTCCACGTTGCCGGTTCTTGAGCAAAAGTACGGGCGGGATAGGGTTAGGATAGCTTCTTTAGGTTCCTTGATTAAACCAGACGGTTCCGCTCGGCCATTACACGATGGCACCCACGGTGTGCATGTCAACAATGGTATTAGGCTACTTAATCAGCAATCCAATCCCGGACCCCAGGAGGTAGTTCACCTTGTGCGCAGCGCAAAGCAAAGTCAGGAGGCCACCTTTTGCCTCACCGGCGATGTGACGGCGGCTCACAGGTTGTTCCTTGTCAGAGAGGCCGACTGGCCTTTGTTGTGCTGTAAGGTGCGCAACGACACGCCGGTCGTTTGGTACAACAAAGTAGGAACGTTCGGTATATCATCATCCGCCTTCCTTTGGTCCAGATTGTTTGGAATCATCGGCCGCTGCACCGCGCGCTTTCTTTTGACATTGTGGTTCTATCACCTCGTCTTCGTAGATGATGTTCACGCCAACTTCGCAGGAAGGGAGAAATTTCATCATTTGCTCATGTGGCTAGCATGCTTCGAGATGTTTGGCACACCTTTCGCATACAAGAAGTTCCGCGGTGGGCTCACTTCGGCTTTTGTGGGTTACGAACTTTCTTATCCAGACCAGAGGGTCGGAATTTCCGAATCGCGGGGCCAGTGGCTCTTGAAATGGATCGCTGAGGCTCGGTCCTCGAAGTTTGTTGTTTCGGTTCGCAGGTTTGCTGAGTTCTTAGGGAGGCTGGGCTTCGTCGCTCGGCTTTTGGTTTGGCTTAAGGCACACCTTGCACCGCTTTACAGCTGGAGGGCAGCGGTGAACGACAGTTCAGTCGCTCGGATGCCCGACACCGTCATCCTTACCCTTGAATATCTTGACCTCACGTTCAGGGACATGACGTTCAAGGTCGCCGCAGCAAGATCAGTCAAAAGAGAAGGCGTGGCCTTCCGCACTGATGCAAAGTGCGCGGACGGGTACGTGGTCCTTGGGGGTTGGGATTGCGCAGGCACAACTCAGGAGTCCAGATGGTTCTCACTTCGACTTACTCCCTCAGAGGCCCCTTACCTCTTCGACTCAGAAGGTCACAGTCAGTGGGCTTCGGCATCGGCTGAATTGCTGGCCACGCTGGCTGCCCTGCACATCTTCGGTCACCTTGAAGCCGGGCCAACTAGGCGTTTGATGAAGGTTGAGGTTCTAGCTCAGACGGATAATAAGTCTAACGAGGGCTTGACTCGCAAGGGTTCTACAACGCGCTGGCCCTTGCTCATGGTTAACATGCAGCTCACCCATGTTCTCATGAAGGCCGGCTTGCGGTTGAACTTGGGATGGCGTCCACGGGACGAAAATCAGGAGGCCGATGATTTAACCAACGAAATCTTCGACCGTTTCTCTGAGGAGTTGCGGGTCCCAGTGCAGTACTCCGAATTGCCGCTTTCCTTTCTTCACACTCTTTACGAAGCCAGGCGTGCACAGCTGAGCAGCCGTGAAGTGGATTCCATCCGCGACACGGTCGGTGGCAGGCCACGCTTCAGAGGCAAGAGAAAGAGAGAGAAGTCTCCTTGGTGACGTGCCGGCCTGCGGAAGGGGGGGCACAGGCACACAGGTGCGCCTTCCCGACACGTCAAAGACCTGTTCAAGAATTAGATGCCTGCGTGAGCCTGCCGCCATCCGTTTGAAAACATCCTGCGTGCTCCTTTCGGCAGTTGCTATCTCTTTAGATATTCTTCATTAAGTGGCGAGGATACATTTGATTGGAGTCCCAAGAGGCGAAAGCAAGATATGAGAATTTATACCCCATATATTCTCCGGGGATACCGTCGGTGCATTTATACCTTCGCCGATATTTCCGTTTGCCCAATATATCTTCTGGGCAATAAAATTTCTGATGAGGGAACTGAGTTTCGTAAACTTCGCTCACAGCGCCCTTCCTAAACACAACGGTTACGGAGAACAGCAGAGTGGTCACCTGTGTCCAGTCTGCCGCCATGGTCACCAGTTTCCAGCGTGCCGGTGGATGCAAAGGCCAGGGAAACCCCAGCAGAGGGGAGAGCCGAGCAGCTGCATCTTGGGGAAGACGGCAAGATCTACAACTCCCGGGGCGAGGTGGTGGAGCTGGAGAGCATGGGGAGCATCGAGATAGAGTGAGCCACGGCGGTGCACAAGGATCCTCCAAGGACGCCCGCCAATCTTCCGAGGACGCCCACCATCCAGGAATATCCGATGGTCCTCCTTCCTTGGGACTCTCGCTTCTGATGCAAGAAAAGGTTGCGTTTGCATTGCAGTTGAGCTTGGTGAGCATGCATGTGCTGGTGGCTTGGATGAGCATGAGTTGCAGCATGGTGAGTTGCTTGAGCATGTTGGCCAGGACCGACCACAGCGTGACCGGAGCGAGGCCCATGATAGCCAGAGTGAAGCATGGTTGCTTAGAGGGGATCGGGAACTGTTGTTGCAGGAAAGCTGCGGTAAGCTAGAGCGAGAACATGTTCTTAGATCGCATGTGCCGTACAATGCGTCTTGCCCGCAGTGTGTGCAAGGCCGTGGGCTTGAACCCGCCAGAAGCCAGGATCGGCCCCGGGACTCAGGGATGAGAGAGGTGCAAATAGATAAGTTTTTCTATAAGGGCCTCGCATTCCTGGTGTTGGTTTTGGTTGGTGCTTTTGCCCTCGGTGTGGTTCCGTACCGTGAGGTGAGCGGATCCCGAGGCCCAGCAGCCAAGGAAGCCATGTTGAATGACATGTCGGCATGGAGTCGTAGCGTTGGCTTGGTTGGTGTTGCTCCCAGTGAGTTGACGGTGAGTGTGAAGTCGGACATTGAGGGTGTTGTGAAGAACCTTGCACAGAGTTTTGCTGATGGTTTGACCGCCGGTGCCATCGAGGTTGTGGATGCCCCTGTTGGTCGGCATGCTGTTGTTGCAGAGCGTGCGGTGAGGACCATCAAGGAAGGTGCAAACACACTTTGTGCTGGGTTGGAACAGGTCGGCTTGGAGCCCTGCGGGAAGGGTGTTACGTATCTTTTGATGCACGTTGCCCAGGTCTATAACCGGTACCAGGTGCATCCTGGATCGGCGCTGTCCCCAGAACAGCGTTGCTTGAAGACCACCCGAGGACCGCATGCCGCTTATGTTTGGGGTGCCGCTGTGCTTGCCACTCCTCCTCCCTCTTTGCGTGACAAGATCACCGGCCGTTACGGCCACGCCGCCTACCTTGGACCAGAAGTCGGAAGTGGAAGCCACATTGTGCAGTTTAGGCTGCGGGATGGCACCTTGAAGATTGCGAGAAGTGCAAGAATCCGGATGTTGGTTCCTCTTACCTTTGAGGTGTCGAGCTTGAAAGGTGTTTGTCGCATGTTGCCAGGAAGGAGAGATGATGCCCAGAAGAAGCTCCCCGAGAGCACTGGCGAAAATGTGCACGACCTCCCTTTACCGAACACCGCGACCCGAGGACCACCACCAAATTGGATTGAAGAAAACGGAAGAACCCCAAGGTGTCGAGCTTGCCGGCTGCGCGGTTTTCCAGCGGATAAGGCATGGCACACCCAGAGATGCCGTGATCGATACGCTGAGTTTGTGCGGAACTCCTTCGATCCCAGCCGGGCGATCCTCGGTCAAGCCCCAATTGAAGAAGAGCCGACTGGGCTTGATGATTTGGGTGCTGGATTTGATGTTGATCTTGGGCTTGATGTGCCGGATGATCTTGATCCTTTCTCGAATTTTCCATTGGACGAGGATTTGGCTGAGTATGAGCCCAGCCTGCCTGGAGTTGAGAATGACATAGAAGTTGGAGAAGAACTCGAGCAGATCGAGGCCCCGAGCCCGGGCGAGCTTGATTTCATGCAAGTGGAGCCGGAACCTCTTGAAGCACTCCCAGAAGAAGAGCGGGAGGCTATGGTGTCTAGCGTGATGTATCGCGAGTCCATCTCCTTTGCTGGTGCGTCGGTTTGCTTTGCAGGGGCCGCCACCACCAAGGTTGTTACTCCTCAGGTTGTTGAGCTTGGGGGGGAGAAGCTGCTTGTTGAAGTGTCAGCTTCTGCAAAGGATGATGTGACTGGGCAGATATTGGCTTGACCTATGAGGGCATGTTGCGTGAACTTCGTGCTCTTGAGTCGCTTGCTGTCGGTGATGTTGTGTGGCATGTTGAACCGAAGCAGAAGGTGATCTCTACAAGGTGGGTCTCAAATGCCAAGGTCGAGCGTGTTGAGGGAAAGGAGAATCCGCTTGTCAGGTGTCGGGTTGTTGCTCGTGACTTTGCGCAGGGAGCGACCGCTGCGCAGCTGGGTATCTCTGCTGCCACAAGTTCCGCAGAAGCGCTGCGAACCTTTCTTTTCTACGCCGGTTCCAAGAGGAGGAACATCGTCGGGTTGGATTCGATGTGAGCACCGCGTTTCTCTTTGCGGAGCTCGACGAAGAAGATGGCCACATTGTGGTCAGGCTGCCGGACGGAGTTAAGAGCAAGGACGGCCGCCGCGGCTACTTACGCCTAAAGAAGGCCCTCTATGGTCTAAGGGTTGCAGCTCAGACCTGGTCGCGTCACCTGGCAAAGCTGCTGAAGAAGCTCTGTGACCTGGAGCCCTGCGAAACTGAGGCTTGTTTGTTTTCAGGATCCGTGCTTGGAGGCCAGCGGGTGGTTGTTCTTTGCTACGTTGATGATCTTCTCATCACTGGAGACAGCGACGAGGCTATCTACCATGTGGTGGAGCAGCTGAAGACCGCTGTGAAGGTGAAGGTCACAGCCGATCTGGACCGTGACGGTCAGATCACCTTCCTTGGAAGACAGATTGCCCGAGAGCATTCTAGTGACTCCCTGTGCGTCACAATGTCCGATTCCTACTACGAAGAGATCTACAAGGGTTTCTTCGGGAACTCCAAGGTCACTGCGTGCGGCACGCCGCCAAACCTAAAGGAGTTGTACGACAAAGAAGATCCTTGCTTGGAGAAACCCCTGTCTTCTGAAGCTGCTGCGAGGTTTCGCAGTTCCCTGGGAAGGCTGTCATGGCTTGCGATGACAAGAGTGGATGTGGTTTACTATGTGAGCATGCTGGCCCGAGGCCAGGCGAATCCACTTGAGAAGCACGAGAGAGCTATGAGGGCTATGTTGCGTTACTTGAAGTATATTCAGGGTTTTAAGCAGGTGGTGAGTCCAGTTTCTGAGGAGAGCCTGCGCCTTGATTGCTATGTAGACGCTTCTTGGGGTAGCGAGAAGAATGTTGACAGGAAGAGCATCAGCGGAGGGTGCGTGATGTTGGGAGGCTTCTGTTTGAAAGCCTGGAGCCGTCTGCAACAGGCTGTTGCCTTGAGTTCTGCTGAGAGCGAGCTCTATGGGCTTGTGGAGGGTGCGAAAGAGGCTCTCTCTATCCGCCGCGCCATCTCGCATGTCTTTGGGTGGGAAGATCTGCCAAAGCCCCATCTTTTCTGTGACAGCGAGGCTGCAGTTGCTATCAGCAAGGCTGATGGGCTGAGGAAGGTGAGGCACATTGACCTTAGGGCGTGCTTTATCCAAAACCAGCTCAAGCAAAAGCAGATTTTTCTCTATGGGGCGCTCAAATTCGGGGCCGTCGTGGCCGAAATCTTTTCTGGGGCTCGACATCAACGGTAAAAGGCTCTCTAGACTGGCTTTTAGGCCCTCGAACCTTCAACAAGTTGGCCGTAGTTTTCGCTGCATGGTTTTCCGATTGGCTCTTTGCTGCGCTCTTTTCTTGGCAATTTCCTGCGAGATTTGCTTTTGCTTTTCTGGAGAATGCCGCCTGGAAGGCGTATTCGGGTCCGAGCAAAACGGAGGCGTCGGAGAGAGAGGAGACGAACGAGCAGCTCGAGCAGCTCACACACCATTCGAAGCTCGTCGATCGATTTTCCTCGGCGATATTTTCTTAGCCCTACAGGGTCCATTGGATCATGTGACAGCTCGGCCGACCGGGAAGCGCCTGCAACGGGTATTGATACTTCCACGCACATTCGAGCATATGCATTGGACTTGGTTGCAGACACACTGCAGCTTGCAACAGCGAGCCAGTCTCGATATGGAACAGACCTGGCTAAAGAGCTGCTACGAGGCAGCTGCCCGAAGCAAGTTCTGCTACGAGCATGCGACCTGCTGTTTTCTAGGGAACGCTCCCTTCTGCTTGCAATGGTTCAAACAAGCTACCCGGCCCTGTTGCGAGAGGCCCGGGCAACATCTGCAGTTTTCACAGCATCATGTTGGGACACACATTCGACTGCCTTGCTGCAGTGTTGAGTTGACCTCACACATGTCTGGCTTACTTTAGCTACTGCTTGCTGCGACCTCAGTCATGGCTGTGGTGCCTCCACGCCGAGACTCAGTCCCCTTTGCAGGTCCTTGGGACCAAGAGGAGTCTTCGCTTGGAATGATGGGTCAGTCCCCTGTTCCAGACACAGTTGTGGTGTCACCACGCTGTTAAGCATCCACACTGCCAGATCCAATGTGCTCGGCAAGCTGGTGACATGGTCAGGAGCTTGGGTTCAGCCAATCAGGGATATGCATTTTCACGACATGTGGCTAGAGGTTACTTCATGCTCCCCTTTGCGAACTGCTGCAGCGGAGTGCCCAACGTCCTCTTCTAACTCCCGGCCCAAGTACGTAGCAGAATGCATAGCCCGCAGGTACCAGTATGCTGCTTATATAGGCCTGGGTTGTTCCTTCACCATGCCAGTGAGTCCAGTGATCCTTTCTGGTGGCTGTGGTGCACCCACGCTGCCAGGGCAAAAAGTACAAGCTGCTCATTGCCTATGCCAGGCACTGTGTGCCGGTTCGGTGAGTGCTGGGTGTACCCGCCTCGCGCTTCCTCAGGTCTCTCGACGGAACGAGCCTGGATGTACAGAAGGCTTCGTGCACTCTGACACTCGCATGTGTTGTCGTGTAGGGTTCCGAACTGGTGATGCTGCACCTGCACCTGTTCATATACGCTTCTTGACCTGCAGGAATCATCAACGAGGCTGCCGTGCAGGCCACTGCACCAGACCGTTGCTCAGACGTCTCATGCACTCAGCCACTGCTACTGGTCTTGCCATGCCTCTCTCCGGTAAGTTTTCGCTCGAGGGACGCATAGCCGCCGTAGCCAGCCACGGTCCCGTGTCTCTTTCAGAGCACAACACATTTCTCCACATGGGCGCTCACAGCAGTGACTCGCGGCAGAAGAGATCGGCTTGCAGACCGGGCCGCCGGGAACGACTCATCATCAAGCAGACGGCCAAAGCCAAAGCTGCCCCGGGGCCCCCGTTGCGACAACCACCGAAGCCTCCCTTGCCTAGACATCGAGTGCTGCAGTATCCCGAGAGTACAGATTCACTGCTTCAACACCGGACACATGCGATGCCCACATTGAAGCGAGATAGCTCGACTGCTGTTTCTGTCGACGAGACTATTGCAGGGATCGGAGAGCATAGCATTGACAAGAAGGCCAAGGGCTGCAAGCACCAAGCTACTTCCAGTGACAGTGCCTATGTTACCTTTGAACCTCTGCCCTGTGAAGTTTATCGCCCACAGGTGGTCTCAGATCAGCAGAGGGGCAGACCGAACCAGTGCGGGAAGACGGCTGCAGCATACATGGATGCTCTTGCATTGTGTCGGTCAGCTTGCACAAATGCTTACATCGCATGTCTGAGGTGCTTGCGAATCCGGCCACACAGCACACAACAACATGTTGCGGCAGGAAAACACGTGACAGCCGCTCGAGCAATAGGGTATGTACCACCTGCAGGTCGGACTCTTCCGTGGGGAGGGTGTCTACAGGACTATGGGACACATGAAGACTCTACACAGTCCTCTGGGGCTCATCAGGGACCTGTTTTGGTAGCAGGGAGTGGGCGGGGCGGCTGGGAGATGTGTGCTCCAGTCGATACCTCAGCAAAGCTTTCACTTTACCAACCAGGCGATCCTGCCGGCCCCTTGTCAGGCTTTCGCATGCTGAGTGCCGTGTGCGAATCTCGATTTTCTGCAACCACCGCACTACTCAGCACGGCTCCATGCATTGACCTCTCTAGGTTGTGGATCACTTTCTGGGGCACCTCGACATCATGGTCAGGAGCTCTGCCAAGGCCACCACTAGTAAACCAAGAGCCAAGCAGCGATCCAAAGCAAAGCCCAAACCCAAGCAGACAGCCACTCGTGACACACCTGGGAGACGAAACCGCGCCAAAAGGGCCGACCGATATAGCACCAGCGAAAGCAGCAGCGAAAGCAGCAGCAGCACTGAAGGACCTGGCACCAGCACTGAGGCGGCACCTATGCCACCAGACCCGAGGTCTCGTTCGATGGACCCTGGAGTGGAAATGGACTCCCTTTCTGACTGCGAGTGTGCTTCTCTACCTGGTAGCTCTGAGCTTGCATCAGAACCCATGTCGGCAGTGCAATCGCCGAAGAACTGCAGTGCAGAAGAGCCGCCAAAGAGCCACGGCACGACGCCGGGGCCTCGCCCTATTGTCTCTGCTCCTATGCCAACACATTGCTGCTTCAGGACACGAGACACGGGCCACGGGACCCGAGGCAGGCAGGCAAGAGCGTGCGCCAAGATGCTGGTACGTGCATCATTACGATGCAAATGCCACTTTGCACTGCTACATGAGTGCGTCAACCACCGGCCGACGCCGAAAAGTCCGAGCCCCAATCCGAACGGCACATCCACCCGGGTACGGCCGTACCTGGTGCTACCAGGAGACCTCATCATGGAGGCATGCCTGGATCCGTTTCCGGAAGCTGGCTGACTGGCCCTGCCCTTGGTTGCTACAGCCTGCAAGCTCAATGGAAGTACCGGCTAGCATGAGTGCAGGCAGAGAGTCACATTGTGAGCCTACAAACCGTGTCACATTCAGAAACCACGACAAGGAAGCATTGTCTCTCCCCGAAGAGCATGAGCCCTATTATCAGAATCGCACTAGACCCGGTCCCAAGTCCGGGAGGCACTACATTCAGTCGATCTCATTGCGCCCATTTCTTTACCTTGTGCTCTTTATACATTGGGCCAGCATGATCGTAGTGTCTGGAGTGAGGGTTGGCACCTCTGGTCCCCGCCACGTGCCGGGAGCATCCACTATCGGCCATCGTTCATCGCACATTCTTACGGATGCAAAAGACGGGGTTAGGGTTGAGCACACCCGCAACAACTGGCAACCAGCGAGGAAGCGAGCTTATAGGCGCGCACTGGCGCGAGCACGCGCACATCCAGCAGGAGGGGTCATGTATAGAGGTAGGTGGCTTAGCGGGCAACATTCGGCCGCTCCCAAGGACCGAGCCGACGAGACATCCCCCGTTCGGGGCCCCACCGGACCCGGAATCGACATCTTAAGCTGGAACTGCGGTGGACTCACATCCACACGCTTTGCTGAGCTCAAACAGTGGTTGCACACCACCCCTGACGGCCAACGGCCGCAGATTGTGATCATTCAGGAGACGCTCTGGAAAACCTCCAGTGAGTGGACAGATAGCAAATACTCGTATGTGCATTCGGGTACCAACCGGAACAAAGACGGCGGTTTGTTGCTCATGGTTGCTCGTGAATTATGCTCACCGGACAAACTGCGATATGATGAGCTGAAGCCTGGCAGACTTTTGCACATCAAGCTCGCTATGGATCCGTCGTTTGAACTCATTGCAATTTACCAGCACTCATGGCGAAATGACTTGAGCACCACCGCTAAAGATAAACTGTTAACACAAAGAGCAGCTATATGGCGACGTTTGCAGCAGTTCGTGCAGAGCACCCCGGCAAGGGCCCAAGTTGTCATCGCCGGTGATTTCAATTGCCCCATTCGAACCTGCCTCCCATATGTCGGGAGTGGTGTTAGGCGTAATGTCAAACCTCGCTCTCAACCTCTCCCCGACCCCGCACCGGACCTTGATGACCTGATCAATGTACTTCGCAATGGGGATCTTCAGGTTCTCAATAGCTTCGGTAAGGAGGGCATGGCCGCCAGCACATACATCAACGCCTCGCACACGCCCATGCAAGGCTCACAAATTGATTTTGTGGTGATGCGGAGGGAGCAGGCTGATGATCGTAGCATGCGGGTACAGATCATGCGGGATTTCCCTCTACTGCCGATTGAAGGTATGTGGCACTTTCCGCTGAGAGTCACTGTTCCTCGCCCCATCGCCCCCCGATCCAAGCCTCAGGACTCACGTCTTACCCCAGACAAGGCTTCAGCCTGCTTGGCTCGGGAACCTGAGAAGGCTCAGCATTTTCAGCAAATGGTGAACGAAATGCTTCAGCAGGCCCCGACGGTGGATTGCATCAATACAGTCTTGCTTCAAGCTTGGGACCAAACCTTTGGCACTGTGGGTGATCCCCGGGAGGGCTTTGTTAGTGATGCCAGACTGGCCACCATGTGGAAACATCGAGCACTGGCCATGCAGGCACACAGTCTGCTGTCCAGGTGGCACCATCTTGCTAGATATAGATCCATCAGGCGAGTCATTCAGCGAAGGGTACAGGCGGACAAACGTGCTAAAATCCAGCAGCAGCTGGTGGATGCGGAACAAGCTAGCTCAACGGGACAGCCTGGTGCCCTGTATCAGGTGTTGCGCCGTATCGCACCCAAAATCAGACGCCGCAAATTGCAGCTCCGTGATGCTCAAGGGCGACTCGTGGGGCCAAGAGAAGAGGCCACTCTAATTTTAGACCACTACTCCGAAGTGTTTGCTTCAGAGCTTGCAGTGGCAGACACCCAGTTGGAATGTCCTTTTTACTTTGACTCCGATGAGCTGTATCATGCCCTCTCCGAACTACCCCAACACAAAGCCCTGCCGCAACATTGTGCTCCCGCCCCCCTCTGGAAACTCTGCGCACAGACCATCAGCCAATTCACAGTGCAACAGTTTCAGGGTCAACTTAGCTCGGGGTCGTTTCGGGATCAATGGC